ATAGTTTAAAGGTTTGATCATCTACAGATAGTTTTCGAGACTATTGGACTCTCTCAAAACTCTGGAGAGTCGATTCCAAATTCTGGCAGTTCTCATTGGAAAAGAGTTATAGGCAAACTGATTGGTGGTGACTGGAATTTCTAAAACGAAAGAAGAACAACTTTTGGGAGTGGGACAAATGCGACCTTTTTTTGCGCACCTTGCCCATTAGCGCATCTTTTTTCGTGTTTTAAAAAAGCTCTAAAAGCTAATATTAACCAATTTCTATTCCAAAAGTTGTTTTTCTAGGTAATTTTAGGGCGTAGAATCGAAATTTTGACATATCAGCGCTTGTGGAAACAAACGGACGGAGTTATACAAAGAGAAAAATCGACAATTTTCTGTAACTTGATCTAGCCGTTTCGTCTTTCAAATTGGTTTCACACACTCTGTTATGTCAAAACTTGAATTCGACACCCTCAAATTACCTAGAAAAACAACTTTTGGAACAGAAATTGGTTAATATTAGCTTTTAGAGCTTTTTTAAAACGCGAAAAAAGGTGCGCTAATGGGCCAAGTGCGGAAAAAAGGTGCGCAAATGTCCGGGTGCGCAAAAAAAGGTCGCATTTGTCCCACTCCCCAACTTTTGAAAACTAAAACAACTAATGAAAAAGTTAAGAAATTTCGTAAGTTTCGTAAGTTTTAATGATTTTAGGCAAAAAGGAAACTAAATTGTTTTAACAAAAAGGGAATTGAGTTGAAAAAATTTGAAACAAAGACTTTAACTTGGTAAAAACTGGAGAAATTTTGAGAATTTTGAGGAATTTTGAAAATTGAGAAATTCAAAAGCATTCTATTAATGTGAATGTTGAAAATTTTGATACAGTCATCCGCTTGTGACTCAATTTTATTGCAAAAATAACAAAAAGAATCTATCATGACGTTTTTCAGCTATTCAAGGTGTGAACTTAAAGATAATCAAACTCTAAAAAGCGCAATTTCTTTCATCTTTTTGTCCTATCAATTTTATATAGCTTTTGACAGTTTTACGATCGAATTTAGTCCTATATTAAAAAGAATTCCTTTTAGTGAAGTGTTGAAGATTTTGGAAATATCAATTTTCAATCAACATGTTAGTGAAATGAGATTGAAATGAAGATTGAAATGAAGAAATTTGCACAATGGCCACTCAGCTCTAAGTTTGCTTTTTAAATGCTGCTTTTTTTTTACAAATGGAGGACCTTTTTGACTAAGAATTCGGCAGGTTTTGCACAAGAAGAAAAGAGGACAAATTCCAACCGCTGAAATCTACGATTTGATGGTTGAAACGCTCTAAAATCATCACGAAAACTCCGTGGAACCAGTATCTCGATGAAATGACCCTTTCCATAGAAAAAAAACAACGAATCGCTTTGTTGGCACGAAGCATTTGAAAGGGCTTTCTGCTTTGAATGTGCTCCAAACGATGCTTTTTAGGATTATAGACATCTCACGGGGGAACTACATATGGTTCCCCCGTATGATGTCTATAATCCTAAAAAGCATCGTGTTGGAGCACGAGCTATAATCCCGTGTCCTTACCATGTAAAAGAGGACAAATTCCAACCACTGAAATCTTTTGATTTGATTTGATGGTTGAAACGATCTAAAATCATCACGAAAACTCCGTGGAACCAAGAAACTACCAGAAAAACAACTTGATGAAAAGATATGCGCTCGTGATTGAACAAAAGGGGGCGCAGCTTTATCATGTGGGCGAGAAAAATGGCAGCGGGGAGATGCCAGCACGACAATGAGTGATTAACCGAGAAGCGGTGAAACATGAAACCCACAAAAACTTGGAAACGCTGGATTTGAAGTGGCAAAAGCTCCGAGCATATTATGGTATTTCAAAGTGAGTTTTTGACTTTATTATTTTATTTATTGCTTACTGGCTTAAACTACATTTTCTCTTTAGAGAAATCATCAATCTCTACGACGAATCATCAATCTCTACGACAAATCGTGTAAAGAATGCGAGTTGAAAAGAGGAAATCCAAGAAAGACGCTCGTTTTGAAGCCAATCTTGACGCAAAAACAAAAACGAGCGTTCTCGAATCGATCTTATCGATCTCTAATCAACACTGGATGGTGATTTCAAGTTTTTTCTAGTATACCAAGGCTCTTTCTGTTATTTATTATAATAAAATATAAATTTTAGGACCATTTAACCACGCTTTTAATAGACGGATTCACGCGAAAAACGCACAAATGTTTATGATCATTTTTGGTGATTGGGGAAAGCTGAAAGTGAAAATTTACATGTTTCAAAATGTTCAATATAAAGAATAATAATTGAAAATTAATTGCAAAAACGCAAAAAAGTTTTAACATTTAACCATTCGACCACGCTGCGTCCTTTGAAGACAAAAACCGCAAAAGAAATTGTAGAAAAGTTTAAGATGCTATTTGGAATCTTCAGACCACCGAAAATATTGCATTCAGGTTTTCTTTCTTTTTTATTGACACGGCAAGCTTTTTTTGATTTTTGTGTAAGTTATTTCCCTTTCAGCTCGTCGAAAAACCGACACAACCTATAAAATTTGAGTATCTCGATGAAATGACCCTTTCCATAGAAAAAAAGCAACGAATCGCTTTGTTGGCACGAAGCATTTGAAAGGGCTTTCTGCTTTGAATGTGCTCCAAACGATGCTTTTTAGGATTATACAGATGTAGACATCTCACGGGGGAACTACACATGGTTCCTCCGTGTGATGTCTATGATCCTAAAAAGCATCATGTTGGAGCACGAGCTATAATCCCGTGTACTTACCAACTCGGATCGCCCCCAAACTTTGTGTGATGGTCAAGCAGGTCAAAATTAAAGTTCTCTGCATAATCTATTAGGTTGGCAACTAAATAATGGCCCTCGCCCTTTTTTGATAAAATCTTTTAATCTTTGCGTTTAATCTACCCTCGCTTGTTGTTAATTGAATATTACTGAATTTCTGGTGCATTATTATACGTTTTTTACTTTCCTTGATTTGATACTTTTCAAATAATTTTGTTTAGAAATGGAAGATCTCAAATATCGAATGCGTGTCTGTCTCTGGTACGACTACAAACAAGACGAAACAGCTGCCGAATCCCACAGAGATTTATTGCAAGTTTTTGGTGATGAAGCTCTTTCCGAAACACAATGTAAGAGATGGGATCGACGGTTCAAGGAAGCGGATGAAAGTCTTGAAGATGAGCCTCACCAAGGACGACCCAAACTTCTGCAGAACGATATTTTGGAAGCAGCTTTAAAGGAGGATCCAAGTAAAACATCACGCGAGCTAGGGGATCGATTGGGCTTTTCGCATACTGCAATCGAAAAGCGACTTCATGCATTGGGGAAAAGTAACCGCAGTGGAAAGTGGATTCCGCATGAATTGAGCAAAGAAAATAAGGCTACTCGTGTTATCACAGCTGGAATACTACTAAAACTTGCGAAAAAGGGAAGCTTCTTGGATTCCATTGTCACTTCTGATGAAAAATGGATCTTTTATGATAATCGAACGCGAAAACGACAGTGGCTTAGCACAAACGAAGACCCAAAATCAACTCCGAAGCCGGATATTCACTCAAAGAAAACTCTCCTCTGCGTGTGGTGGAGTTCTCGTGGGTTGGTGCATTTCGAGGTTCTCAAAAGCCGGCAAACGGTTAATTCAGAACTCTATTCGTCTCAACTACATCGTGTAGATCAAGCAATTCGCTCTCAAGGACTCGAACCCTCTTCAATTCATTTTCTCCATGATAACGCAAAATCACACACTGCAAAACTTACAATGGAGAAAATCGAGGAGTTGAGCTGGAATGTTCTTCCTCATGCGCCATACAGCCCGGATATGGGGCCTAGTGATTACCATCTTTTTCGATCGATGCAACACTTTCTAGCCGAGAAAAAGTTCAATGACCTTGACGAAGTCCGAATTTCAGTGCAGAAGTTCTTTGACGATCAACCAGAAGAATTTTTCAAGAGAGGAATCCAGTTGCTCCGTCAAAAGTGGAAAGAAGTAATAAAGAATGACGGAGAATACCTTTTGGATTGATGTTGATATTTGTTCATCTTGTTAATAAATTTTTTGTTTTTACTGAAAAGGGCCATTATTTAGTTGCCAACCTGATAGCTGCTATGCACCATAGGCGACGAAATTGTTCGTTGATCTTTGGATTGTGCCTTAAGCATTCTTGGAATCGATTTCGCTATTTCCGCGCATTTCTTACTAAAAATTTAAATGCTTTATATTTTCGTCGCCTATGATTCAGCTAGATTTTCCAGCTAGGTTTTGCAGAGAACTTTAATTTTGAGCTGCTTGACCATCACACAAAGTTTAGAAGCGATCCGTGGTAGTATACCGTAAATACTGTAATAGTACCCCACTCCCATAATGACGGTGCGGAGGGTTGCGTAGTCTAGATTTGGACGCGTCTTTCTCGACACTGGTTTATGCTACAATGCGCGCTTAGGTATCAAATAATAGCTGAAATTCAGGGCTATTTTTTGATACCTAAGCGCGCATTGTAGCATAAACCAGTGTCGAGAAAAACTCGTTCAAAGCTAGACTACGCAACACTCCGCACCGTCATTATGGGGGCGCGGTACTATTACAGTATTTACGGTAAGTGCATCTGTGAATTTTCTTTCTAACAAAAATACCATTCATCGAAATGTGACCGAGAGAAAGATTTTGATTGCTGAGAGGAAAATAGCTAAAATTTATCTTTTTATTAACTAAATTGAACCCGGAAGAAGCTGGAATTTTTTTGGGAAAACCGATAAGAAAAACGGCTGCTCGATGGAGGGACATTCCTTCAAAAAAAAAGTGGGCAAATCTTTTGCAAAAGAATCATACCATAGATAAGACCATAAGCGGTTGTCTGACGGTTGTCTGAATATTCTCTGCAGTCTTAAAATGAAGCTCATCTTTGGACTTTTGGTTTTTATTTGTCTATTTGTGGGGGTTACACCCGCTCAATGTCAAGATGGAGGGCATTATATGCCACTTGAGAAAGTTTGTGTGTATGCTGTTGCTGACGGTGAGTTTTGGAGAGATATTAGAGGTAGACATGCTCAACGATTTATTATTAATTTAAACGATAATTAACGATATTGAGAATTTACAAAAAAAAATTGATCGTATGATTTCAAAGTGGGTCGTAACGATATCAAAATGCGATCAAAAAAACTAAAAAAATCCATGTTTTGTTGTTTCTAATGAGACGTAGTCAATATTTATCGTTATTATCGTGATCGTTAGCTATCGTTATTAATTATTTTATCGTTGAGCAAGTCTAATTGGAGGTGTTCACAAGATCGAAAATTAAACCCTGTCAAATACCTCTATTTGTATGCATATGCTTTCAAATGCACATAGAGGCTGGTATAATATGTTATCAAAGCTATCGGAGTTATCGAAGCTAATGAAGCTATTGAAGCTATCGGAGCTATTGAAGCTATCGGAGCTATTGAAGCTATTGAAGCTATCGAAGCTATTGAAGCTATTGAAGCTATCGGAGCTATTGAAGCTATCGGAGCTATTGAAGCTATTGAAGCTCTCGAAGCTATTGAAGCTATCGGAGCTATCGGAGCTACGGAGCTATCGGAGCTATCGGAGCTATTGAAGCTATCGGAGCTATTGAAGCTATCGGAGCTATTGAAGCTATCGAAGCTTTTGAAGCTATCGGAGCTATCGAAGCTATTGAAGCTATCGTAGCTATCGGAGCTATCGAAGCTATCTTACTTTTTATTAGAAAAGATATTTACTGTTGAAGAGTATCTTAACAAGCAAAATAATCGCATCTATTCGAGAATAATCTCCTCTACAAAGTAGGCTAAAACGTGTTTCAATTGATCGAACCATGTGGATGAAAGTGGGGTTTTCAAAAAGTGCCCTTTTTTCGTCACTCTCATTTCGCCCTCGAAATTTCTTCAATGGTTCGATCAATTGAAACACGTTTTTGCCTATTTTGTAGAGGAGATTTACAACTTTCAAATAGTTTATAACATTCATCGATATCAGGTTTCTATCGTTGGAAATTTATGAAAATTGAAAATCGTTTGGAAAATTGAAATCCGCATTTCTTATGCATTTACCTAATAATTGTTAGTAAAATTAGGATCATAAATATTGGGTTGGTGAATTGAAAACTGGGCTATGTCAACAGAGGGAAGGCAGAGATAACAAAGGCCCACCAACGGTTCATCGATTTAATGTATTGGGTTGGTGAATTGAAAACTGCGGGCTATTGTCATATGTGACAGTTTGAGCACTTTCTTCAAAAGAAACCCATTTTGGTGTCAATGGAAAAGTTGTAGAGAATCAAAAATGAAGCTTATATCCAAATTTTCAGAACGGTTCAAAAACTGGTTTTCAAGAAATGCCAAATTTACGAATTTTCACAAAACTTGCATTTTAAGCGAAACTACTAAGTGTATCTTTTTGGAAATTTGGCTATAAGCCTAATTTTTGATTCTCTACAACTTTTCTATTGACACCAAGATGGGTTTCTTTTGAAGAAAGTGCTCAAACTGGGACATCTCCAGTCCTCCATTTTTGAGTCTCACACTTGTCTCACACACAAACCAAATTCCTACAAAGAAAGAGGAATCCGCAAATTGCCTGTAAAATGGGCAGAAGTCGTCTATAATAATGGAAATTATTTGGAATGAATTGATGGTTTTATGTTGACTAAATTTTAGTTCAAAGTCCCGCAATTTTCAATTCACCAACCCAATATCATCATATAACTTTCTTTCTTTTCAGTCAAAATCTATCACGACGTGAAAACAGCTTGCACTCATTTGGGCGGAATTCCGATCAAAATTGAGAGCATTCTCGAGAATGCTTTCGCCTTTTCGAGAATTGAGGGTGAGCAGATTGGGGTGAAAATCAAAATTTCTCATCAAACTATTTTCCAAACACCAGCTTTTCAGAGTTTCACGGAATCGGCGGCTACATCGGTGTGGTGAAACATTTGAACGGAGATTGGACATACGCTGATGGCACCGTGTTGAAATATCAAAATTGGGCTCCAAGTAGGGAGATTTCTTTTCTACGGAAACTGGCATTTATTCTAAAATATTAATAAAGATGTAAAGTGGTGCAAAGATAGCCAAATAAGCCAAATAATAAGTGAAAGCTTACAGATGAGCCAAATAATAAACCCCTCTTCGACTGTACTCATATGGAGCCAACAACAGGAAAATGGGAATCAACTGAGTGTTTCATTCCGAGACCATACTTTTGCTCGGTTCATGTTTGAGAGCGGATTTAAATCTATTTCTTTTCTTTTTCTTTTTATGTACTTGCTTTAATGAATAAATATAATACAGAAAAATCATGATAACAAAAAAAAAACAAGAAAAAAAAAGATTTTTCGAAAAACGTTTTTTGTTATCGAGATCCATCATAAGAAATTACTCTAAAAAAAAGTAAAAAAATGAAGAAAAATGAGCTCTTTGGTACGACCTATCATTTACACAAATAAGATTGAATTCTTTGCACAAATTTTAACTGATACCAGTACAGAACACAAAATATTCAATCAAACAAGTTGTGCTAAGAGGAAATCGGAAATCGAAAGAAGATTGGAATCAAAAGACTGAAACTTCATGTATTAGAATTTGCAAAGAAGTGCAAATGATTAAAATTGGTGAATAATGACCGAAAACGATTGCTTTTATATGTTCATTACTAAAAGGTACTCAGCTAGAGACTGATTACGCTGCTTTGGGCTTTGGCTTTGCTTTGGCCTTTGGGCTTTAGCTTTGCTTTGGCCTTTGGGCTTTGGCTTTGCTTTGGCCTTTGGGCTTTGGCTTTGCTTTGGCCTTTGGGCTTTAGCTTTGTTTTGGGGCAAATTTTAGAATTCAGCTACTTAGTGAAGTGTTAAAAGCCGTAATTCAGTTTTCACTTTTTAAACGTTACTTTATTCATTTATAAGTCCAATTGTAAGTTCAATTGTAAGTTCAATTGTAAGTCCAATTGTAAGTCCAATTGTAAGTCCAATTGTAAGTCCAGTTGTAAGTCCGGTTGTAAGTCCGGTTGTAAGTTCGGTTGTAAGTCCGGTTGTAAGTCCAATTGTAAGTCTTATAGTTAGCTTTTTTACTCGAAACCCTTTCAGTCACTTAATCGCAATTCGTGAACACCTTTTTCTCTTGCAAAAAAAAGGGAAACTTGTTTAAAATGCATGGTCTCGTTGTGGTTTCTTCCAAAAAAAGAACACGTACCTGAGCCCCCTTCTTTTTTTGAGTTTTTAAATTGATTTGCAAAGTTTTAAGTTTAAAAGTCAGTTTAAAAATTCATGTTTCAAACTTGTCCAAAATGAAATCGAATTTTTCAGCTTTTAAACCCGTCCAAATTTTCCTTTTTAAAGTAGATTTAAATCGAGTTTCCATTTTGATGCTTAAACTTAAAAAATTCTTTTTTTTTTTCATTGCCTCCAATAGTTTGACTTTTTACAAATCCTTTCAAATCGGTGTTTCAAAGAAATGTTTTGTTTTGAAATCAAGAAATCAATCAAGTCAAGTTGTTCATTTGTCAATTGTTCATCAATCAGTTGTTCATTTGTCAATTCTTGTGATATAATAAAAGGCAAAACGAATTTTGCATTTTGAATTTCGCAAAGTTCAATATTTCATACTTGAAAGCTTGAATCGCTGTGATATCAGAATTAAGACCCGCTTGCAAAGCGATATAGTATCAGAATATAATATCAGAATTAAAACCCGCTTGCAAACCAATATAGTTGCTTTCTTTAAAACACAAAACGACTGTTCGGATTTTTTTTGTTCCTTTTTAACTCTTCGTTGTTCGACTCTTCGTTTTTTCAGTTAGTTTAAATCTCTTTGAGCTGAGTCCACAACTCCAAAGTTGATTTGCAGTGCGTGAAAGGGGATCGTGATCCGCGTGATCCACGCTGAGCAAGGCCGATTCTGGATCGCCACTCCGTGTGACTCGACAGATCTTCATGTACTCACGGGTCTCGTAGTTGAATTCGTAGTTGAACTGCGCATCAAAATGTGCAGTGCGTGAGAGGGAAACCGATTGGGCAATGATTATTTAGAAGTTTTATTCCAAATCTAGCATAAACACTAATCTAGCGAGAAAATTCAATAAATAGAATCAATCGTTGGTTCAGTGTTTCAAAGCCAAAGGAAAAGAATGCAAAGTGAGCTCCGTCTTTTTTTCTCACACAAACGATATTTAGAGGAAGGACAAGAGAATCAGAGATATTCAAAATCAAAGCATCAAATAAGATTTCACAGAAAAGGGCTACTGTAGCTAAAGAGCTACTGTAGCTAAAGAGCTACTGTAGCTAAAGAGCTACTGTAGCTAAAGAGCTACTGTAGCTAAAGAGCTACTGTAGCTAAAGAGCTACAGCAGAAAAGAGCATAGTTGAGATATGGCATTCCCTATTCCCTACTCCCTATTCTCAAGTATTCCCTTGTTAAAACAAATTTAAGTCTATTTTAAGGAGCTCGATCTTTTTGGAGGAGTAAAGATCCATGGGAACTTTTCATGGCATAGGAATCTCTTGATTTACGCACATTTTCAAAATAAAGTTTATCTGTTTCAAAGGAATGAATTACCTTTCAGTTGTTCAACGATTAATTCAACTGTTACTTTTGTTTCAGAAATTTCAATCACCTCCAATAATCTTTATAATTCTTTTCCAATAAGAAGTGCCAGAATTTGAAATCAACTTGCTATAGTTTTCAGAGAGTTCAATAGTCTTGAAACTTTAAAATTATCTGTAAATGATTTTGATCTTTCTAATTGATCATTTCTACCCTAAAGTCTCGAGTATATGTTCTGCCTTAATTTACATTCGCTTTAATTGCTTTGAATTTCTTTTTGTTGGGTTTTTATGCATTTTTATTGTTATATAAACTTTTATTATTGTTCTTGGAGCGCGGGATACTACAGGGTGACAGCCTATCACCATTGCTATTTATTATGGATACATCCAGACGATAGTGTTGAAGAAGACGCTGGAAAGCATCTCTTTCGACCGTCGACGTGGACTTTGGCCGGATGAAGAGGCCAGGGAGGGATCCATAAGACTGAGCACCGGAGAGGAGCAGGGCGGACGCGCCGAGCCACGCCCGGAGCAACAAAATAACAGCATAAAATTGCTATAACCCTCAATAAATTTACTTCTATTATTGTTCTTAAAAAGTAAAAAAGTTATGCTGCAGCGGGGTTCGAACCCTCGACACACCGCACCGGAGACAGCCGTCAATTTGCATGCGAAAACCAAACAGAAATTATACTCGCGACTTTAAGGTAATTGGGATAACTTTATTTAGGGATCTTCACTTTATCTATCCTAAAATTATTCATTTTATTCAAAAATTTTTGAAATCAAATGAATTTTCTGCAGAATTTTCAAGAAGAAACCATTTTCTCTCTTTTTTTTGCTGCACATCTTCTTCTTTTTCTCCCGAATAAAATGCGATACTGATCGAATTTTGGAGCTGTTTTTCGTTGAGAGAAAGGGGGAGAATTGAGCCACATCTTTCACTAAATTCTTTTTTTTAAAAATGTTTTCCCAATCCTTTTCTTTGTTGTTAGATCATTTTAGTAAATCGAATAAAAATTTGATTAAATTCTCTAGAGAATCTTTGACATCAAAGAGCAAGACGTCTGCTGAATCAAATAGAAAATTTATTGAATATTGAATACCGTATTCTTTCTAATAGTAGTGCGCACTACTATTTTTTCAACCCCCTCCTGGACCGCAACACTATTAGAGGGTGCACTACTATTAAAGAGTTTTATCATTTACCAAAGTAAGAGAGATATAAGCTTTGTTCCAAAAATTCTTGCAATTCTTTCACGTACTCCTTTGGCTCCTTTTGACATACAGTTGTGGGCCGGCGAGTTGACAATTTGTGTCTTGACAAACAACAAAAAGATGTTTTTGCACTTTGCACAACAATTTTAGATTTTTTAGATTTTTTGCTAACTTTTTCATGTGAAGAAAAGTTAATAAATGAATAAAAAAGCCTCACTTTTCCTTGCTTGAATAGCTTTAGAATGTCACATAAACAAAGTCAAAAAGGTTTAGAGGAAAAAGAAGCACCAAAAATTCAAATTTTCGAGGGTGCACTACTATTTTTTCAACCCCCTCTTGGACCGCAATACTATTAAAGAGTGTACTACTATTAGAGAGAATACGGTATCCAGAATTATCCAGAAACAGAAACCAGAAAGTCGCATCCAGAGCTTCCAAGCCTCTTAAAAATTGTGGAAATTTCTAGAAGTACAGTAGTCAGTACAGTAGTCAGTACAGTAGTCAGTACAGTAGTCAGTACAGTAGTCAGTACAGTAGTCATCCTTATCAAATTTCGGTCGTTTCTCATCCCCATCATCTTTCCCTTTATCATTCGTTTGCGAACCTTTATCCTTTCTCATTCTTTAGTAGGAATCAGCTCCCCTCCGCTATCTTCTCGTCTGTAGGAAAATTGAAAGTATTTTTTTTATCCACGTCATCTTTCTATTTGTTAACGATTTACGCTAAAATTTCCTCTAATCTATGTCCCTTATTCCATGCCTTTAGCACTAAACCCAATGCCAAATTGGAGGCAATTCTCCGCGTAACCAGCTTTGATAAACAACTCCAAAGTCATTAGATAAAGAATTTACATCAAAAATCAATCAATCAATCAAAATCTCATCCCCATCATCTTTCCCTTTATCATTCTTTTGCGAACCGTATTAGTAGGGCTTGGAATAAGCTCCCGTTTGGTATCTTCTGTAGGAAAATCGTCTGTAGGAAAATTGAAAGTATCTGTAAACGAATTAGATCTTATTGCCATGTCAAATCTGTTCTATATTCAAATTTGTCTTATTTATCTTTTTGGACCTTTTGTTTCCTAACTGTAATCTTACTGTACTATTTTTAGTTCTCTTTCTTTTTTTGTGAAAGTATTTTAGCAATATGTTAAATGCGGTTATGATTTTCTGATTCGCTTCTATTCCCCGGAATTTGTACAATTTGCATCAATGTACATTAGCTGAAAGCCAAACTTTACATAAAAAAAAATCAAGTTTCAACTAAATTCATATAGCTTGATTGTTTTGAGAACTAATAAAAAGCCGTTATGCTTGTCTGATTCGCTTCTATTCGCCCCCTGAATAAAGCATATACCGTATTTTCTGTAATAGTAGTGCAGGCTGGAGGGGGTTGAAAAAATAGTAGTGCGCAAATAGTAGTGTACTATTACAGAAAATACGGTATATGTTGTGTCCGATTTA